AGGAAGTATACATTTCATGTGGAGACGCCACTTCGACCAAGTATCCTCCGCTTGTTAGATTTCTGCATCCTGGAGTTTACAAATAGTTTTCTAACATAAACTTACTTTTCTGGTCTTATGATATTATCGTTCAAGAACCATGATATCCGTGGCAAGGGTACTCCTTTTACTACCACTTTCAATAAGGCGCGTGTGTTTTCAAGAACCTCATAGGTTTCTTTCAACGGATCCACAAAGTCCGGTGGAGTGTAGAGACAGCTGCTTGACAGTGAAGTCAATGTGTCATCGATCGTCGATGCTTCTGGAAAAAAAATTGTCTTCACTTGTCTCCAAATAACTCTCAAAAATTACGAGTGAAAAACGAAAGTTTAAACAATCTTCCTGTTTTTTTTGTATTCTTCCTAAGGACAGCTTTGTACTTTGATAAAGAGCCAAGTATCAGACTCACCGTCATCTTCGTACATAATTTGGGACAGTATTTGTTCCGTGGTCTCCGACTGAGGCGGCTTCTGGAATTCAATTTGAAGCTGCACTTCTTGGATCGGCAACGAATCGTAGCCTTCATCAAATGTGAGGAAGACGGTTAGCTTGCACTTCCTAGCTCTTGGTATGGATATTTCTGTCGAGTAGCTCGTTTGATCTCTATGAAGTTCTAACGGAACCAACACCTCCTCCGCATGAGCTTTCAGAAGCTCCAGTGCTGGAGTCGGTTCTGCTTTCGTGGCTTCTTCGATTTGTATTTCTGGGGCTTCAGTTGGTTGTCCAGAAGTTGCTGGTTCCAAGGGACTTTGTGGCTCTTGTGAGAGTGCTGTTAGATCCTTCATAGCTGCGTCAATGGATTCTTGAACCAAAAGCTTCACATAGTCATGCTCTTCGCAGCTGAGTTCTATCAAGGTCTCTTCGTGCTTTTGTTTCTCCATGGGTGAAGGGCTCTCCTCGTCAGACGGAAGTTCGATGTTGATTTCAGCAATCTCTTCAAACTGTTCGGATAACGGAGTTGTGGCTCCACTCTCCTTCTTCTGTGCATCGCTAGTCCGTCGTTGTACTTCTCCATATTCTACATACGATTCTTGCAACAAATTTTCCATAATTGCTGATGCAACCGCCAACGCTGCTTCACGAGCCGCTTCATCGACTTGCGGAGCAGCCTCTTTTTCTTTCTCTTTTTCGTCGTCGTAGGGGATGTCAACTATCTCGAACTCGCTTTCCAAGATTTGATCTGAAGTAGTCAAGTATAAACTCAAAATGTGTCATAAAATACCAATTACCGTGAAGCAAAATATCACAATTAAAATCCATTTTTAGTTCAGAACAGAGATCTCAATAATCGTTATCTACGTTTTATCTACTACGTTACAGAAAATCCCCAGATTCTAAGAATTTTTGTGAGGCCCGTGAAATTACTCTGCTCCTTTCGAATCCTTCTCAACCTTTTACCATTTCTGCCTATGAGATACCTCTAGGGATGCATAAAAATGATTTTTACCTTCCTGAGTGGTGAAAGAAGCTTTTTCTTTCAACACTTTTTCTCCAGGCACGGCAGCTTCACCCATATCTACGCTAGCAGTGTCCTTCACCGAGTACATTTGTAAGCAGACATCAACTTCTGGTTCTTCGAAAATAGATTGTGTGAAGACTTCCGAGTCTGAATTTCAGTGGTGAAACGAATTACTAGGTTTTGAAGTGAGTTTGTGTACCTGTCACGACAATCTTCGTGACGATTGTGTATACACCATCAATGATGACGCCATACTCGCCAGCATCAGCAGGTTCGATTGAGACTATCGTAAGAGAGTGATGATGACCATCCTCAGAATCATCAGCAACGAATCTGCTTTCGAGCTCTTTGCCTTCACCTCTATTCAAATTGATCCGTTCTCCTTCCTATAAAGAAATGCGCGATAGCAGCTTGCTTAACTTTAGCAAATGATTTGACTCTTTTTGGTAAATTTGTTATTGACTCATTCAGATAACACAAGGCTAACGCATTTTTGCCTGGATTTTTATCTGTACTTTTTTAGGTTCTCAGAGAGTCTCAGTTTATTTCTCCGATAAAGATGTTTCCAAAGAGTTTCGAATCACGAAACAGTGAGGGACGCTTCCCAATTTGAAAACTTATGTACAGTTTCGAGTTTTCGTTGAAGAAAGATCCTCCCTCCAAACCCTCCCCCCTCTCCCCTCGCCCGAAGCTTGATATTTGATATCAATATTCGAAAGGTGCACGATTCTATCACATGAGGTCCAGAATTTTCAACCCTGAACAAAATCTTAATAATGTTTCAGATTTGCAAACTTATTCCATCGAACCGATGCGCTATACACCCGTGATAGAAAAATTTCGAGGGCTTATGCACTGTTTTCAAGATTCTCCCAGAATCTCTTACACACTAAAAAAGCGGGAA